TTGAGTTAAATAAAAAATAAAACCAAATTATGCAGTAAAACACAACTTGCACTACAAAAAAACATGAATTTAGCGACGGAATTTTGAATTTAGCGACGGATTAGCGACGGAACGGATTAGCGACGGATTTTCCGTCACTAATTACTGACGGAATTTTTCTGTCGCTAACTCGATTTTCTTAAAAATAAAATAAAATGCCACGTGACACTTCTACCAATTGCCATGTCATCACTAAGACCACCTTCACGTGTTGCTGCCACCTCACATCTACCACCACGTGTGCGCCACGTGTCACACCTCTACATGCCACGTGTGCCTGCCATCTCACCTCTGCCTGCCCGCGTGTGCGCCACGTGTCACCATCACATAATTCCCTTCTCAAAGTGACTTTTCCATGGCTTGAACCCAGGACTTCCTCCGTGCGCACGTGCGGCTTTACCAGTTGAGCTGCAATGAACCTATTAACTTATTATGTAAAATTAAATATATATTATATTATTTTACACAAACAATTAGATATACATATATATTATTAAAAACTAAAAATATACTATATGATAATTTTAATCATAACTATTTAATGAAAAAATAATTTTTAAATATTTGTTTTACTATTTTTATAATTTTTTATTTTTTAAAAAATCTTTTTAATATAATTTTAATTTCTAACGACACTAATTTTGAATTTTACATCATAAATAATTTTTCATAAATAATTTTTAAATTTATTTTTTAATTAACATTGATAAGATATAAAATTTAATTATATATATATTATATTATATTATACTATATATGTATATGTGGTTTATATATTTGAAGAAAATCATTTACAATTAGTCAAAAAATCTTGTTATTCAAAAAATTCAAAAAATAACTACTATAATAAAATCTAATAAATTATTTTATATAAAAAATTAAATGATTTAAATAGATTATGATAAACAGTATTTTCCTACTTGTATATATATCCTATGTAATTTATTTTCTTAATATTTGCGACGGAATTTGCGACAGAAACAAATTCCGTCGCTAATTTCTGAAGGAATTGCGACGGAATTTCCGTCGCTAATTTTTTGATGGATTAGCGACGGAATTGTCTGACAGAAAAAGATTCCATCGCTAATTCCGTCGTTAATCTGTGAAAAAAATTAGCGACGGAACAAATTCCGTCGCAAATTCATGGCTAATTTGCGACGGAATTTGTTTCCGTCGCTAATTCGCTGTTTTTTTGTAGTGTCGGGTCATGTCTCTTGGGGAGACTTTTATTAGTTTCTAAGTTAATTAATGACAAAAGCATTAAAAATCAAGGATTTGAAAAGGGATTTTTTTTCTTTTTATAAAACTAATTATGAAAATAAAGAAATAATTCTAAACTACTTTTTTATTTTAATAAAAAGATAATGAAAAATCCAAATTTGAATTTTTAGGAAATCAATGATGAGAATGCCTTTTGAAAAGAGAACGTAGCTATCTTTGTTTAATAAAAATATGGGAGCAAAATAATGCATCAAGTTAAAAAGCAACCTCAAACATGGTTTGGTTTAAGTAAACTTAACACCTGACTACTTTAAATGCTAGATAGTAATCAAATTATTAAGATACCTTTAAAAACTAATTTATGTGCAATTTAAATTGAGTTAATAAAACTTGTTTTCCTCTCAAAGAATGCTCACGGAGACACTCAATTGCAATACATCTTAATTATAAAATCTAACAACACGCGAGATAAAATAATTTTAATGAATGCAAAGAAATCATATATAAATTCAAATCTCAAGTAATACAACTCAAATTAAACTCCAAAAATCCAATTAACAGAAATTATAACTCAAAATCTCACTCTCCAAATCAAATAAGAATATTACTAACACAGGAAAATCTAATGAAATCCAAGAGAAAAATTAATTGGAAAACTAAATACTCTCCTAGTTGAAATTCCAAGCTCAAAATACTCGTCCATCTCCAACAAGCACAATGGGATCTGCCTCTCATGACTCTAGACTCTAGAAGAATTCACAATATATTTGAAGGAGTAAGAATCTATGAGGCCGTGGAGGTTGGATGGAGATCGAGTGAATAGTGATGGTGTGTGGTTGCGTGACGTTGAGGAGAGGATATGAACTTCTTGTGTACGCGGCTTGAGAATTGGTGTTTCGGCGTGGCTGTGTATACGAATGGTATTTGAAGGAGCCTTCGGCAGCTGTGTATTCATGTGGCGTCCCTAATCAACACACACACACACACACATTAACCTAATCTTTTGATGCCCTGCCCTTGCGTCTTTTATTTCCTTTTTTTCTTCTTTTTTTTTTCCTTCAGCTTTTTTTTCATATTTATTTCCTTTTCTGAGGCCTGTAAAAGATAAATTGAGATACTAGCATAAAGCTCAAATATAATTACTTAAGAAAAGATAAAAATATGATAAGATTTCTTTTTAAATATCTAATTTTATGCAATCAGTATTTAATTCAAAATATCTACAATGAATGTAAATTATCCTACCTTAGTTAATAATTATCCCCAAGAAGATATCAAATAATATATTAAAATAAGGATTTATCATTAGGTTTGCTGAAAAGTCTAAGGGTGTGTATGGATTATTGGTAATAAAAGTGGTTTTTATTTTATCTAACTTTTGCAAACCTAACTTAGAATAAAAATCAGTTAGTATAATATAATTTATATTTAGATTGGCTTTATTAAAAATTCTATTTGTGAAAATGAAGTTTATTTGGATTATTAATGAAAAAAACAAGTTTATATATAAAATGATTAAAAAAGACATGAATTTTATCAAATAATATACTTATATTATATATATAATGTGATAATTCTTAGAGAATTATTAAAATTAAAATTATAAAAATAAAAATGGTCATTGGTGTGTAGATTGGTTTCTTCACTGCTCATCACAATATTTTCTCGCTGTCACAGCGCCTTGCTTTTATTGTCAAAGTTAGATGGATCGTGGAAAAAGCCAATTCAAAATGAAGCCTCTCTTTCTTTTTCGGCTGAACAAAGAAGCCTTTCTTCCTAAATAATCCATCAACTGTGTTTCATAATTTCCTAGGCGTGTTCTGAGATTGAAACACGCTAAAATATCTATTTGCACTGGCCCAAAACCAATTACTCATGTAAAGTCACATATTACTTCTGGTTTTAATTATAAGACATTATTGTAGACTATAAATAATGTCCTATAATTAGGACTAGAGCTAGTATTTGATTACTTCGAACTAACCCATTTTTTTTCCTAGAAAGTAATTGTTTTGGAGTTACATCAAAAACCTCAAGTCATCATAGAGGATCAAAAACCCCACGTCATCATGTCTGGCCTAAAACGTCCCATTCTATGACGTGAATGAGGAACACACAACACGAGAGATGTGTTTGGATTAATTTTTAGAGAATAGTTTCTGAAAAAATTAAAAAAAAATTATTTTGAGAATTTGAGAACACTCATGATTATTTGAAAAAGTGTTTTCATGTAAAATTAAAATAAAATTCTCTTCACATATTTATTTCGAACTTCATAAAATTTACTTGTGAAAAGCTATTCCAAACACTACTCCTAAATAGATAAAGTCATAAACTGAAAATGTTTGGATGATTGTAATGAGAATCACTTTTTTGTATCTAAATTATGTAAAAAGACATAAGCTAATGTAATATTTACATACTAAATAATAAAAATGATTGTATTGTATTTTTAAATAATAAAATATATTATAAAAATTTAAAAATTATCATACTAAGATGAATAAAAAATTATTATTGTTGAATAAGGTGTCTTTAAAATGAAAGAAGTAGTTTAGTGACAACAATGGCTCATGCAGTTTGAAAGGAAGAAGATAAGGTTACCTTGAATACAATATGTTTGCCACTTCCATTATTACACCCCAAACCATGATTTTCCACCTCCAAAAGTTAAAAAATTTGGCTTTTGAAAAATCGTGATTTTCCATATCCCCAAACCATGATTTTCTATGTAAAATTGATTTTGGAAAAAAAAAACCATTGTTTAGCTAAAAAAATTATGATTTTGGTTTTTACCCAAATACATCTATTTTTTTTTTTTTTGGTGAAATAAATACATCTATTTTCTTTAAAGGCGCTCCTATATGTCAAGAAGATAAGATAGAAATGGGGAACAGCGTGCCTGGCACTCACTGGAAAAGAGAGAAATAGGGAATAGCAGATGTGTCACGCAGAGAGGAAAAGAGAGAGAATAAGAGGAGGCTAGAAAATTCAACAAATAAGATGAGAAAGGAATGCACTTATACATAGCGACGATATTTTAAAATTTTTTTTATTAACATATTCTAGATACTAAAAAATATATTTATTTCTCCCTTTTAAATTGTCAATCTCATAATTAATGCAATATCTTTAATAATTAAATTCTAATTTAATTTATATCTTAATTAGAAAAAATCCTAGTTAAAATAACCTCATGACCATCCAGGGCGAATTGGAAATCTAGCACTATGCACAAGAGTTGTATTCCTCCACACGTCATGAGTCCGGTTCAGAATCTCTTCTCTTTTCTTTTTATCTTTTTTCCTCCTCTTTTTTTTTTCTAACCATTAAATTAACATATTTGAATGGTTGATATTTTAATTTTTATAACTATTTATTAAAAAATTTAAAAATATTTAGCGCATTTGCAAACCATTAGACTTAAATTTTAATAGAGTTTGTAATTTATTATTTATAATTTAATATTTTAAATAATAATTTTAAAAATGTTAGAGAAAATAGATAAATGCTTATAATTATCTATAGTAATAGAATGATTGTATATTATAATATCTAGGAATATCCTCTCTCCCACTTAATACGATGCTATTCTGTTTTTGTAACAATATGCTGTTATTATATTGCTCTATATAATACAACAGGCAAGTGCTAGTTAACGCATATGTGCCTATTAATCAATTCATTGATTTTCCCTAGATTTTAAGTTGGTACCAGAGCCATCTTTTTGCCGTCTTCTAATGTCGACTTCCTCTGTCAACTCTAGTTCTGATGGAGCTGATTCACCCGCTGCCGCAAAGACTTATTCTCTCTTTTATTCTTCTAGTCAGACCACTTCGATCAAGTTGGACCGAAGCAATTTCTTGGTCTGGGAATCCGTTGTCCTCCCCTTGATTGAAGGCAACCGATTACAGTCTCATATTGACAGTTCAAGCCGTGCTCCTCCACGCTTTGTCCCTGGAACTGATGGGCCGACGTCAAACCCCGAATATGAAGAATGGTTTGCTGTCGATAGGCTCCTCGTTGGTTGGCTTAGAAATACTATGACACAAGATGTGGGAGCGCAGTTACTTCACTGCAAAACAGCATTAACCCTCTGGAACGAAGCTCGAACGCTCACATGTGCAGCCACCAAAGCTCGAGTAATGGTGTTCAAGTCGGAACTCCAACAAACCAGAAAGAACAGGATGAAGATGGCAGAATACTTAGCCAAAATGAAGAGTATCTCGGATCAGCTTGCATTAGCCGGTGCACCAATCTCAAACGATGATCTGATTTTGCAAACCTTGAATGGCCTAGATGCTGATTACAACCCAAGTGTTGTGAATCTCATCGACAAGGATCGCCTCACCTGGGTTGAAGCTCAGGCTTCACTTCTTGCCTTTGAAAGCTGATTGGACCAAGTCAACCAATTTGCCTCACTCAGTTTACAGCCTACGGCCAACTTTGCTCGTGGGGACTCTACCACTACCCGTCGACCACCTGCACCAGGCCATCAACCTTCTGAACGAGGTACCTGGCATGGACGAGGTCGCCGCTCTCGTGGCCGTCACTGAGGCAATAGCGGAGGTGGCTGGCCTTACTGTTATTTGTGTGAACGATTCGGTCATACCCTTGCCAACTGCTACAATCGCTATGATCGCAATTTCCATCCTCCTTTGTCATATGGTCGGTCCAACAACAATTTCTCTAGTCTCTCTCCTCCAAGCTATTCGCCTCAAGCATTTTATGCAGATTCCAACACTGTGGCAGACCCTGACTGGTATATGGATAGTGGGGCAACTCACCATGTGGCATCAACTCCAGAACAACTCGATCATATGAATTCAGTTGGTAAACCTCAACATCTTCTTACATTTACAGGAACCAAGACACCCATACTTGGTACAGGTTCTGCGTCACTCTCATGTTCACAATCTACTCTTAAACTTAATAATGTTCTCTTAGTTCCAAATGCTACTAAGAACCTACTTAGTGTCCACAGGCTCATTGAGGACAATGAAGTAGCTGTTACCTTTACTAATGCTGGTTGTACTGTAAAGGACAAGGTGACAGGACGAGTTGTGATGCAAAGACCACCAAGGCAAGGGTTGTATCCAATGACCAATGATGGGAGACGGACTAGAGTACCTCAAGTTCATATGGCATTCACTGGTGATGCAGAATCTGATTTTCTTCAATGGCATTTCAAATTAGGTCATCCTAGCAATAAAGTATTACGACAAGTGTTGAATAGTTGTAACGTGAACGTTGCGATTAATGACAATTTTGTTTGTGAGGCTTGCCAATATGGCAAATCAAAGTTATTATCTTTTCCTTAGTCCATGTCATATGCTTCTTCTCCTCTAGAACTCATTCATACATATTTGTGGGGTCCTGCTTCGATCCAATCAGTCAATAAGCCTCTTTACAATATACATTTCATTGATGATTTCAATCGGTATACTTGGCTATATCCGTTGAAACACAAAGGCGAAGCTGTAAATACTTTTCAACTTTTTAAAACATATGTGGAGAATCAATGTAACAGTAAAATTAAAGCTATACAGTGCGATAATGGAACCGAGTATAAACCGTTTGTTCCTATTCTACAAGCAGCAGGTATTCAAATATGGCTCACATGTCCTTATACATCTCCGCAGAATGGACGAGCTGAAATAAAACGAAATGGGACCAACTCTGCTCGTTCAATCAAAAGTACCACTCACTTACTGGGTTGAAGCCTTCCAAACAGCTGTCTATCTCATTAATCGTCTTCCCACACCAGTGCTACAAGGCCGAACACCATTGTTTCAACTCTATAGAAAGGAACCTGAGTATGAAGCTCTGCAACCTTTTGGATGTGCTTGTTACCCATGTCTCAAACCATACAACGAGCACAAATTTCAATTTCATTCTCAAAAATGTGTGTTCCTTGGACCAGCTCCACAACACAAAGGGTTCAATTGTTTAAACACAACTGGTAGGATTTATGTTTCCAAACATGTGATATTCCACGGCTCTGTTTTTCCATTTGACACATGCTTTCTGAATAGACGGAGTTCAATTCGTGATGCGATCTCAGATATTCCCATCCAGATCACATCATCATAGCAGCATGAATGCCCAAAGCCATCTCCACTGAGTAATAAAATAGCAGTCTCAACCGAGCCCATCTCTCCTGTGTAGTCTTCATCTCCACATATTGGGCCAGGTGTAAGCCCAACACGTTGTGACCAGCCTAGCACTCTGGAATCCCAGTCACCAGATACTGCAGAGATCCAAACTCAGGGCCCTGGTCTTGGTCCAGTTCAAGAGCCAACAAATCGCCACCCAATGATAACACGGGCCAAATCCGGTATCTCTAAGCCCATGTATCCCTTCATAGGTTTGCTTGCATCTGAAAGCTCTCAGCTTCTCACTCAAGCGATTGAACCCAGGACTGTCACTGAAGCACTCTCTATTCCACATTGGAAGCAAGCCTTGAAAGAGGAGTTCGATGCTCTCTAATGGAACCGTACATGGGTCCTAGTGCCCTACCACAATGCTCAAAAAGTTGTTGACTGTAGATGGGTGTTCAAAATGTAGTTTAAGGCTGATGGATCGATTCTTAAACCCAAGGCAAGACTGGTCACAAAGGGTTTCCAACAAGCTTCGGGTGTTGATTATGGAGAAACATTTAGTCCTGTAATTAAGCAGAGTACAATTCGAGTGGTATTAACTATTGCTGTCACCTTTGGATGGCAAGTACATCAGTTAGATGTCAACAATGCCTTCTTGAACGGTTTCCTTCAGGAAGAGGTGTTCATGCGTCAGCCAGAGGGATTCCAAGGACCTAATCATGTATGCAAGCTCGTCAAGGCTCTCTATGGTCTTAAGCAGGCGCCTCGTGCCTGGTTTCATCGCCTACGACATACCTTGAATTTTCTTGTAATAATGAAGTTCAAGAATACGTTAATCATCACCCTGAGTTTGTTTGGCTTTTACAGGAAATAGCGACAGAACCTCAAGAATGGTCACTATCGTGGCCGTGGTGATTGGTGCCCTCACCACACTTTACTGATATTACTTCTGTTTGGAATCAGACAACAACAGCTACTGGATTAGGAATGTGTTCTCAATAAAATTACTTGAATACTTAATTATTATTTGTAGTTTTGGTCATTTCTTGGGGTTTTGCTTTTTCTCTGAATCTTTTTTTGTAACCACAGTAGTATTCCGCTTCCACAAGTGAGGATTATTTGATCATTTTTTGAAGATGTCTTTTTCTTTGGTTGAAATAAATGGAGATCAATTTGGATTGGACTTCTACCACTTCATTTATGTTGGATATATAGGTTGGATGGAAATGAGAAAATATATTTATATATATTATATTAGTTTTGTAAGAGCATACGCCAAAACAAGGAAATAATTTACATTCCTTGTGGTGTTTTTTAACCCTTATCATTAATCCAAAAAATATATAAGAGGGTAGAAGAGTGCAAGAAAATTGAAAATTTGCGATGAAATATGTTTCACTGTAAAGTCGATTGCAAATCTATCACAAAAATTGTGCGACAAATTTTATAACGGAAAATTTACAAATTTATCATAAAAGTTTGCAATGGCTCCACTGTGATGGACCAATCTATGGCAAATTAATTTGCCACAAATTTTTCTTGATTTGCGTCATAAATTACCATCACAAATTTCATTTTTAATTCTTGCCATATGAAAGATAAGGTAATCAGTGGAAAGTGGTGAAAGTGGTGAAAGTGATGAACATACTTTCATTATCTTTCTCCCCCATCATTTCATCGAAATTTGAGAAATTGTTAGGGTATGATTTGTAAACGGGGGTATATAACGCTTAGGTCGTATATAAAAAGAATTGATTTAATGATATTTAGGGAAAAATTTTCTAAAAATAATTAAAAATGTCAACTTTAAGTAGTCACAAATATTGAAATCTTGTTTGCAAATTAAATAAAATATTTAAGTCAAACAGATCACTTTTGGTGATTTTTAGAACTAAGAATCCTAATAAATTTACAATTACTTATATCAGTAATTATAACTTACAACACAATGTTTTAGTACATGATTATTTTTAAATTGAAATTTTAGATCGTTCTCCTTTTATAATTTATATTGCCCGGGAAGGATGTACAAATATTCAAAGAAAAGCCAGTGAGGTTTTAATGTACTCCTTTCTAATCACAAACATAAGCCACTTCTACAAAAATTAGTTAGGTCAACAATATAAATAACTTAATTTAAAATATAAGCTAAACTTTATTTGAGGGGTTTGATTTTTTTTATAAGAAAACATTTAGTATTTTCTCAATTTTATCCCCCATATATTTTCTTTTCTCTTTGATTTATTTATTGCATCTCTTACTTATTATTTTCATTAATCAGGGCATATTTGAGGAAAAAATACATGTCTTGCCTATTTATATTTCTAAACTAATTTTAGCTAATTTCTTGATAAACGTAAATAGATAAGTGTAACATCCCGAATTTTCTGACTCACGATGAGTAGAAAAGAGAAAGTTCATTAAATTTATTTAATAGCTCAATCAGAATTGGGGAAAATTATGGAATATTGATTTTTCAAGGTTTAGAAATATTTTGAAAAAGTTCATTCCCCAAAAACTGTCTTAAATGATTTTAAAGCTATTTTCATAGCAAAATGGGTTATTTTCTTAGAAAATACTTAGAGGTTTCTAATTAACTAGAAAATTTTAGGGAAATTATCTTATGAGGTAGAGAATTTATTTGAGGCATAAAATCCTTAAAATGGGTTAAGGATTAATTTCTGGATTTAAGGGCTATTTTCTTCCACAATTCAAGAAAAATAGGTAGGAGATGATTTTTGACCCGAACTTTTTATGGACATTATTTCATGGGTCAAAGAAGCTAATGGATAAGAAAGATCCATATAAAACATGATGGAAATAGAGAAAGGGATGAAATTGGAACAAGGGGAGGAAATGAAGGGGCATAGCGGTCATTGAGCTACACCGTTTCCCTCTCACGTGCCACTGCCCTTTTAACCATCAGATCAGTTATCCACCTCCTTCAATTCATTTTTGCTTTCCGTAGAGAATAGAGAGAGAGCGCGAGGAGAGTTAAGAGACACAGAGACGGCGATGGAGGAGGACGAAGGCAAAGGTCGTGATCGGAGGTGCTTGGGTCACATGCAAACCGATTAACTTTGCAATGTGAACCTCCTGATCAATCTTCCGTCTTTTTCTTTTCTGTTTTCAGTGTATTCTAGCTGCAATGGAGGAGAGACAGAGTTGGGGTAGTGAGAGAAAGTGAAGAAACGAACAGGAGGACCGATGGGTTCGTGTCCTATAGCTAGATTGAGGTGTTTGATGCTGGGTTTTGAGCTTGCATGTTGCTGTTGTCTCTGTTTCCTGAATTA